GTCTATTGTTTCCTGCCCCCGCTGCGTGCGGCTCCCGGCGCCGCGCACCCCTTCGCGCGCCAACGCCGCCCAATCAGAACCCGCCGCCGGGGGGCGCCGGCCAATCAGCGGAGGGAGAGGGGGCGGTGACGGGGAGCGCGCGGCGGTCACGTGGGACGGCTCCCCCTGGGAGACGCCATTTTCCGGAGCGCCCCAGCGCGCTCTTAAAGGGGCCGCGCCCCGTGCTGAGGGGCAGCGGGTTCTGGGTCTGCTCCTGATTCCCGATCCTTGTTCCCGGTCCCCGGTTTAGAAGAACCGGTGGCTGAGGCTCTTCTGATCACTACAGCCGTGGGCGGAGCGTGCCGGGGCGGGACTGCACCGGGCCGGTGCGTGTGTGGGCCGAGGCCTCCTTCTAGGGCCGCCCTAACACCATCGGGTATCCTCGGCGTGTTTTTATTCTCTGTAATCACGTATATATTCCCTTTTTCCACAATTCAGTGCTGCGGTGAGTTTTAGAGGCGTAATATTTGCTGGTTCTGGTCGGCTGAGGGTAACTCGGGACCTGACTCTCCACAGCTGAGGTTTAACAGGTTTAAAATCAAATATCAAAACTATATCTGTGTTTATTCCTCAAGAGATACCCCGAGCCCTCAGTTTCAGACTTCTCTTTCCAACACACCTAGATGTTTAACTGAAATTAGGAATTGGAAATCCTGTGTCTTGTTTCTAAGCCTTGGAATAAGAAGCAACTCCTGTGTAAAAGTGATATCTGTAAATTATCTGCATTGTTTAGGGAAGTGTTGGGTTCAGCTGTGGATAAATCTTATAAGGCACAAAAATATTAAAGAATGGTTATGATGTTTGGAAATCTAGAGAGGAAAATTAAGTAGCGTGAAGTTAATCGGGTTCTTCAGTTTGCATCAGGTTTTACAAATGAACAGGAAAACAGCAACTTTTGAGATTGGGTGTGAGAACTTGACTTTTAAATGTGGCAGTTGATGCACTTCTTTGGGGTTTTCATTTAAAAAGTTTTATTTTAAAAATCAGCCAGAAAAGGAGCACAGGAAATGCCTTGCACTTGGGTGACAGCTGGATTTGCTACACACAAACTTTGAGGTCTGGAGGTTTAAATGTAATCCTTGTCCTAAGAGACAACTTTTTTTCCTGAAGAAAAATCTTCTGTAAGGTCATATCAGGGGTTCTGGGGGGGGCAGTGGCACTTCAGGTGATACTTCAGGTGCACAATGAGCTGAGCACCCTCAAAAGAATTACTTAGAAAATTAAAATTGACCTAAAACATGGAAGTTTAATTCATTTTACAGCTGTTTCCATCAGGGCTATATTTTATTATTTGTGAATGAATGGAATGCTTAGTGTACACAGGGAAGAAGAAACAGAATTCCTCCCAGAAAAAGCCAAAGTCCACAATTCCCATAAGGAATCTTTTCCCTTGGCTCTCCTGGCTGAACAAACATCACTCCATGGGTGTGGGATTGAACTCCCAACTTCCCCATCTCCCAGTTTCAAAAGAACTGAAAGGACTCGAATTTAGCACTGAGAGGAATCCTCCCTGCTCTGCACAGGTTGAATCACTCCGTGGGGATACCAGGAAGTGAGGGAGAATTCCTGGATCTTCTCCAGCACCAGGAGAGTTTCCTGTGGAGTCCTCAGCGATGGCAGCCGAGGACAGGGATTACAACCTGACTGAGGAGCAGAAAGCTGTGAAAGCCAAGTACCCCCCTCTCTGCAAAAAATATGAATGTGAGTATTTTTAATATTTTTTAGTATTATTGTCTCGCAGTGTGGGTGTGACAGTGCTGTTGTGAGGGCAAGGAAGGTAACAGGAAATACAGAAATGAGAAACCAATTTTCTTCCTCATGCTTTTCTTGTTATAGGCACTGAAAAAAAAACCCAAAAAACGATGGAAATAAATTACTTAAGTCTAACCCTGAAAACTTTTCCTCTTCTGAGCCATTTTTCTACCTCTCTTGTAGGAAGAGACATTCAAAAGTGTGCTGGCCTTGCGTGTGGTGTTTTTACTTGACTTAAAGATCATTATCTCTACCTTCCCCACCCTGGAACGTCTCCTAAGAGGATGTGGGTGGCAGCCCAAGGGCCAGCTTAAGGCAGGGGACCATTCCCTGCCTGTTTTCCATGTCACCAGTATCTGTCTGGATGGATTGTTTCTGTTATCTCTGCGAGAATTTATATTTTTAGGCTGTGTTCAGACCTTTCTTTGCTAGAAGTGCAGAAATACGGCGACAGATCACTGCAGCCATGCAGTTTCCATAACTGGAGGAAGTTTTATCCCTCTTCTGCATCTAAAGGAATTTGTTTGCTTTAGAGACCGTTGTTGAGAACCCTTTAATAGTGTGTGGTCTCTTTAAACAGCACCAGGACAATTTTTTCAGTTGAAGTCAGCATTTGTTTCACATCCCAACTTAATTCTGCTGGAATTTTGCATTTCTTTCATTCCTCTGAATAAATATAAATGAGGTTCATGTACAGCTGGATATATGTGATGTTAATCATGCTTCATGAGTAAAGTTTGTCTTCTATTTTATATTCTATCCTGTGTTTTAAATTCTTCTCTTTGCATAATAGCTGCTTTTGGGTGTGGACAGGTAGATTTTCCTCACTGAGCTAGAAATATTTGCAAATTTCATCCTTTGCATGAATAATTTTCAGTCCTGCAGACTTCAGCATAAACTCCTTACTCCTGGTGAAGGTTTCTTTTTATTGCAGTTAACTTGTGGAAGCCTGTTGGGCTACAAAAGCCAAATCCTGCACTGACTTAATCACATTAAACAGGGCTTTTTTTGGCAGAAATAATCCAAAATTTCATCTGTGCTAAATTTTTCTAATATACTACAAAATAGACTGATCACATCTGCAGATGAATGCAAAAATGTTTTGTTAGAAAAGCAGATATTTGTGTTTGGTTTTTTTTTTTTTTAATCCTCATGTTATAAATACTTTTGGTGACATCATTCCTTTTCTTTTCACTTCCCCTCAGATTTGGATCACACAGCAGACGTGCAGTAAGTGTGGGCAGCTGGGATTTCTCAGGGTGACAAATTGATTATTTTTTACACTGCTTAAAGCCTGGAGTAACAGCCAAGGACAGTTTGCAGATGTAACACCTTGTGGAGCTCTGAAATGTCACTCAGTGGGTGCTTCGATGGTGTTCCTGTTTTTGGGACACCACAGAATTATGTTTGGTTTCTTTTTTAGTATTTCTATGGTGCCTCTGTTATTTGAAAATGTCTTTTGAAATCTCCTTTTAATCTCCCCCTTTTAAACAAAGTTCCTTCTGTGTAGTTTACTTTTATACACAACAATTAGCCACATTAGGAAAGATCTTTCTTGGTGGCTGGTAAAACATTTATTTTTCCAAGTTCTCTCATGAAACTCTTCTGACAAACTCCTAGAAAAACCAGGTGTTTTTTGCTCATTCACCTCCTCTGCCTGAATCCCCAAGTTCTGATTGCTCACCTGCATGTGACTTTGTGCTGTTTCTTCTTGTTGTGACCCAGTGTTATATTCCAGTGATTATTCCATGTTTTTTTAGGCTCCATGCCTGGGGAGACACGTTGGAAGAAGCCTTTGAGCAGTGTGCCATGGCCATGTTTGGCTACATGACGGACACGAGCACTGTGGAACCCGTGGGTACAGTGGAGGTAGAGGCAGAAGGTGAGGTCAACACTTCTTCTGTGGAGAGTTATGAGAGGGAGAAAGGTACCAAAAATCTCAACCTTTACATGTAGCCTTAGTGCAGTTAATTAAAATATAATTAAGCATTGTTATCTGAATCTCCTGTACATCTGAGGTGCTCTTAAAAATGTTTTTGATGAGACAATCTCTGCTTCAACCACACAGGGCATGACCTGTTGTCTCTTCTCTTTCACTTCCTGGATGAGTGGCTGTATAAATTCAGTGCTGATGAGTTTTTTATACCCAGGGTAAGTGTTCTGCTTTCAACTTTTTCCATTTGTAGGACAATCCCAGCTCTAAATGCCATCGTATTTTAGAGGAAAAAGGAACACAAAAAATACAAGGCCAGGCTGGATGGGGCTTGGGGTAAGCTGGGCTGGTGGAAGGTGTCTAAACAGTGGAAAATAACCTTTGTAAGTGGGGTTTACTGAGAAGTTCTGCCTGAAGGTTGAAGGTGTGATTGACACATTTCTCCTCCCTCTCTCTGCAGGAAGTGAAAGTGCTTCACATTGACCGAATGCAGTTCAAAATAAGATCAATTGGGTGAGCTTAAGTCATTGTCTGAAAACGGATTGTGGACTTTTCTTCCTTTCTTTGAGGCTTTAAGTGAAAATCTCACTGTTCTGTGCTCATCAGTGAAACTAATTATAGCATTTGGTAAATATTATTAAATTACAACACCTCTCTTCTATTTTTTTGCCGTTACAGGTGGGGAGAAGAGTTCTCTTTAGACAAACACCCACAGGTAGGCAGTGGTTCCTCTGTCAAGCTTTTCTATTTTAGAAGGAAGAGGTGTGGTGTCCTTTAAGTCAGAGCTCTGAGTTCTGCAGAGATCAAAATATAAATGTGGTTGAAGTACCACTGAACTCAAGATCTCACTTCCTGCATGGTTTTGTGAATGTGTCCCTAAAACTGTTGGCCTGAGTGTGACATTTTCTCAGTACTAGCAAAACTCAACAAATTAACTCAATTGGCTTCCTTTTTGTGAGCTTAATAACACAGAAACTCAATCTATATTCAGAATTTATGTATTTGGATTTCACACTATTGGGACAGATTTCTGCTTAGTCAGTTTTTGCTTTTTTCTTCTTTTTTTTCTTTTCCTAAAGAATTGTTAGAAGCAAAATCTGATGTCTTGACCTGTATCATTTTTAGCAAATGTTGATGGTCTGTCAGAGGTAAGAGAAGGAATTTGTGGTATTAAGAGGCAATAAAATAAGGGAAGAGTTTCCTTTTCACTATTTGGCTTGGTTATTAGTGTGGCAACTTCCTTATTCATCAGAACAAATGTAGTTACAGCTTCTTTGGAAAAAAAAAATGGATAGCTTTTGAGGAAGGTGATGAGAACTGGGGGTTCTGAACTGGTAAAAGGAATATAATTTAGAAAATTTATGGTTTGTGTCTCTTTCCTAGGGCACAGAAGTCAAAGCAATAACTTACTCAGCAATGCAGATCTGTGAAGATGAAAAGCCGGAAGTCTTTGTCATCATTGATATTTAAAGTAAGAGTGTGGCTGAGTGGATATTGGTCATCGTCTGGCAAAAACCCCCTGAAACTGTAATCCCTGTGGAAAAAATGAAGGAATTGGCCAGTTAAAATCAGAAATTGAACAGAGTAGTTGCAGGGAATGTCAGACTGTTTTCACTGAGAATAAGAAGAATTAATTGGGGTTTTGGGGGATATGGAGAAGGTGACGTTTGTACAGGTTGGAAGTCTCCCAGGAATGCTGGCAGTCAGCTTCTAAGGCTGATATGTGCTAGGAGCTGTATGAAATACAGAAATTGGTGGAGCTGATAACTAAAATACTCCATTTTTGCAGCGTGGCAGGAGATAATGTTCATCTAGATTGATTTCATTTGCATATTTCATGTTCTAGTTCTGATGATGATGAGCTGATGTTCCTCCTCCGTATTACATAAATCCAAAATAGCTGCAGTGGCTCAGATGTAATGTGGGGAAAAAAAATCTGAGTGTTTAAAATTAGACACCTAAAAAATAATGCCAATTAAACCAAAAAACCACCACATCTTTTAAACCACTTAAAAAAGAAGTCATGCCACCAGGTGGTGCTGAATTGCTGTAAATAAATTGCCACGTGAAATCTCAAAGCATGTGACTGTACCTGGAATCCTCTTATCACTTATGATAACTATGATAAGTTGGCAGTTTTGCTGCTGTGGTAGAAGGGAATGGAATGGGATGTCCCAAGTTCTCCCTGGGTTCACTCCCAACTGTATCTTGTGATAACTGAGTGTTTTTTTAAAAGGCATGGTTTGGATCAGCCTAATTGTTTTTTAAAAAGAACAATACAGACAATCCCTAAATGTCAGAGGATTATGGACTTGATTGAATCAAAATTAATAAAAAATAATAAAAAGTGTGTTTTTTTAAAAAAATCACAGGATGACAAATGTGCATTACCTGCTGTTTTAATTTAATTTAAACATGAGGAGCATAGGCCTGACCTGTTCTGTTAGCATAAATGCTCCAAGTGCCTCACTGTGTTGTCTCATTTTATAAAGTCATCTTAAACGGTTTTATTTCCATGTTGTAAAGACTGAGGGATAAAACCCCTCTTATTTTTTAAGCAAGCCTCAATGCCAAAATAAAACTTACATTGAAACAATGACTTTGTGAGTGATCTTGACCAGTCTATTCAGATACAAACAAATTACGCTAGTGTTTTGTTCCCCGCTAAGGTGACCAGATATTTTTTTATCAGTAAGAATTGCAACATGCAATGTTACAAAGTAAGAGTGATTTTGACAGCTTGGGGTTTCTTTCTTGTCCGGCAAAGCCCCAAAGGCAATGAGGGCATGGCCGCCATTGCAGCCCCTCAGAGGCCGCTTTGCATCATCATTGGCTGGCCCGGGTCATGTGACTGCGATCGGCCAATCGGGCGTCGAGTTGAGGTGGCTTGTGTTCTCCACAGCCTGAGGGGGCTGAGGGGAGGTGGGCAAGGGGACACTGAGGGACAGCGGTTGTGGGGACATTGACACTGAGGGTCAGCGGCTGTGGGGAGATGGGCACTGACTGAGGGTCAGCGGTTGTGGGGACACGGACACTGAGGGTCTGGAGTTGTGGGGACATGGACACTGAGGGGCAGCGGCTGTGGGGACACGGACACTGAGGGTCAGGAGTTGTGGGGACACGGACACTGAGGGTCGGGAGTTGTGGGGACATGGACACTGAGGGTCAGGAGTTGTGGGGACATGGACACTGAGGGGCAGCGGTTGTGGGGAGATGAGTTCTGGGGCTTAGGGACAGTGCTGGGCAGCTGAGCAGCATGTGGAGGCTGTGGGGAGATGAGGGGCTGGGGCTGTGAGGAGGTGGGCACAGGGGGCTGTGGGGAGGTGGGTGTAGGAGCTGAAAGCAGCCTTCCTTTAGCCCAGCTCTAGAATGTGACAAAATAAATTTATGTAGTTAAATTTTAACTTTGCAGACAAATGCTGAGATGCCCCAAGATCAGTCTTGGGCTATAGTAACACACTGAAGTGCTCTACTTACTGAAATGCTGACTGGAGCTTGCTAGGAAAACATTTGGAATTAATTAAGTAAGTGTTATTCATCTATTTTTTTTTTATCAATATTTATTAAGTACTTAATATAAAACAGGCCTTAAATTCACCTTGTTCCATTTGCACAGCTGTGGCAGTGGCAGGTTTCAGCTCACAGTGCTGCTCTCCCAGGGCTTTACAGGAGGTCACTGAGACGTAAAAGTGGGTCATTAAAAACTACCCTTAGACTGCACACCCTTCTGGGGGTGCCAGAGTACCCTGTTGATGTAGAAAGTTTAAGGATGGAGTGGTGAACTACTTAGAAAGACTTGCATTGGTGGTTATTAATGTACAAATCTCAAGGAGAACTGAAAAAGGCTGGAGACTGGGAGAGCATTAGGGAATTATTACAGAAGCTTGCCCCATTCTCACTTTTGCCAGGTTTAATGGCAGCTGTTGGAAGCAGAACCTGGATGTGGATCAATATGGCTGTTCTCAAATTCTCTGTGGGGAATTTCTGCTTTCTTGGCAGGAATGTCAGGCTACAGATGCTGCTAACAGGAAAGGAAACACAGCATCAAATGAGACATGAGACCAAACAGTGACTCTTTATCAGGAATACCCACTGGGAATGCCATTCTCTGCTCTCAGGCAGGTTTCTTCTATGCACTCCTTGAGCTTTTCTTCTTTAATCATTTAATAGTGAGCATTTTTAGTTTCTCTTCCAAGTGCAGGTTCTCTGATCCAAGTTACTGGGGAAATAAATATGACTAAAAGAGCTTAAGAGACTCCAGAACTACAAAGGTTGCTTACCTTGTGAGGGAAATTCTGCTTATAAAAAATGTTTCTATGCTGTCAAGCACCCTAAAATTATATGGGCAGGAGAGCCTTTTTAAAGTAATTCCATGATCTTAAGTCACAAATGTCCCACTGAAATTCAAGGGACTTGGCCTCTTTATTCCTAGAGTTAGATAGATAGGTTTAAGCAAATCTTGCATTGATCCTGGGGGAAGAAAAATGGAAAAAACCTGACAACTGTACTTCCAGTGATTGCACTTTTATTTCCTTGGAACCACGTTGGTGTATCTTTCTATAAAATTCACAGTACAAAAAAAAAAGGCAAACTCATACTACCCAAGTGCACTACAGACGCTCTGGTCACCTACTCTACTCTGGCTGTGGGAGTTCTTAAATCATGCTTTTCTCAACTATAAGAAGCTGTGAGTTCACTGAGAAAACAAAACTCTGGTAAAAAGGTTCTTCAGCATGAAGAACTCCACTTGTTTCCTTCACTCCTTTCTTAGGAAGTTTCTGATGTGTTATGTACAAATTAATTACAATATCAGCAAAAAAAAAAAAAAGTGGTTTAACATTTCTCTGCTGTTCACCTCAGTAAGAGTTTTTCCAAAGCAAATTAGCAATATTTGGGTTTTAAATATCTGTATCATACAGAACCTTTGTAGAACTGTAAACTGGTTCACACTTTCACAATGAGCAGGAGCTCTGAGCAAGTCTTTGACGAAATATAAAACAATTCTCCTAAATAGTTTCCAGATATTAAGTGAGCAGATGAACTTTCCTCGTGGGTCCCTTCCATTCAGGCCATATTATGATCCTCAGTACTTTCTGGATCACATTTAGAAGCAATTACACTGTTCCATATCTGCAAAACAACTTGGTTTAGTCCAAATTTTGCTTCTCAGAACAGAATTTTAGCAATACTTCATTTATTAAAAGTAGTAAACCAGCATTACTTGGTAGGACACGAGTCATTTTATCTTGAACGCAACAATAACAAATACACAAACATCTACCTAAGATTTGGCTTCACCTTTTCCTTTACCTCATCTGGAATATCATCATTATTGTGTCTGACAACCAAATTACAGGGCTCCTCCTCCACTGTCTCTTCATCTGATTTCTGCTCCTCCTCCAAAGCCCATTTGGGGCGTTTGTTTCCCGTGGAGGAGACAGGAGAATGTTCAGATGCATTGAAATCCTTGGGGATGCTGTCGAAATTGGCTTCTGCCAAGCACTTGTGGCACAGTCTGTAGCGCCGTGTCCCTTGCTGCACCACGCAGCCTGTCAGCTCTGTGACGTGGCGTTTGCACTTCCTGCAGATCAGTTTGCCAGCCTGGTGTATCTGAAAGGATTTAAAATTTTGAAATTCAGCCTTCATCCATTTTTTTTTTTTTTTTTTAGACAACGAAAATCGCACTAAAATATTAAATTTTAAATAAATTCACCACGTTCAACAATGAATAATTCAAGTTGATGCGCTGCTTTTCTGGCGTTGGGTTTGGAGATGCCTACGCAGCTGCAGCGTGAGCTGCTTCACACTTCCACAATGAGCAGAAGAGCTCTGAGCAACTCACTGATGAAACAGAAACCAATTCTCCTAAACCCTGGTGTGTGGCAGCGGCCTCAGGGATGACAAAGAGTTACATTGTCCCACCCCAAACCCCTTGTGAAGGGTGGCCCAGGTGCTCTGATTGGGTTTGAGTCCCTGGGGGTTCTCCCTTGGTGTGCTTCTGCTGGTCCCTGACCCTGAACTCCACCCTCAAAGGTGGGGACCCTTGGGAGTTCTGTCCCTCAAAAACCCCTGCTGTGCCTCTGTTCGGAGCTTTCTGTTCTGGACCTGAGTTTGTTCCAATGCTGAATAAATGGTTCCATGAACCGGGAGCCCGTCTCGTTGGTGTTTGATGGTCCCCAGAATCCTGCTGCTTCCCTGGACGAGATCCTGAGGTTGCTGACTGCAACCCTGGTGGGCTTTCCTACCGTTTGGAAGTGGTTGCGCAGGTGCTCCAGGCGGGTGAACCTCTTCCCACAGGCCTCGCAGGGGTAGGGCCTCTCCCCGGTGTGACACCGCAGGTGACGCTTCAGGTCCGCCCGGCGCTTCACGGTGTGGGTGCAGAACGGGCACTTGAAACGCATCCGGGGCAGGTCACCTGGCAGGGACAGGGCACACAACACAGCTTTCTTGCTGCTCTTTCACCAGTTTTCAGCTTAAAATACAGGACAGTTTGAGTTCTCTTTAAATGGGAGAAATCCCCAGTATTTGGGATATTTGGATGGTTATATAAGTATGTATTTTTATATATATATATAAAAATAAATAAATAAAAATAGATATATATAATTTTTACATTATATTATAATATTTATATTATATAATTTTATATAGAATATTTATATATTAAAAATAAACATTGATTATTTTCTAACTATTAAATATAATATTTATATATGTTATATATAATATCTATAATAATATATATAATATATACACACATATATACAGACATTATATATATACATATATACATATACATATATATGCATATATGTGTATATATGTATATTTGTGTGTATATATATGTATATTTATGTATATATGTATATTTATATATATTTATATATATAATGTATGTATATATTATAACAAATAATTATAAATGTTATATATATAAATAAATATATACAATCAAAATTATATATAAATATATAATGATACATAAAATACATTCTTTGGGGATATAGATTTATTATATTTATTTTATATAAACATAAATATATATGTATATATAAAATGTATAAAATGTTTATTATATTTATTTTATATAAACATAAATATATATGTATATATAAAATGTATAAAATGTATAAAATGTAAGCTGGGGAAGAGATATAAATACATATAAAAATATAAATTATATAAATATATATGTATATGTGTATATATATATATGTATGTATGTATATATAAAATGTATAAAATGCAAGCCGGGGAAGAGATATAAATATATAAATATATAAAAATATATATATATATCTCCCCCAGGTAGCATTTTTATTCCTATTCAACATGTAAGTAACATATAAATATATAAAAATATATATATATATCTCCCCCAGGTAGCATTTTTATTCCTATTCAACATGTAAGTAACCACTTGATAGTGTTTTCTTACAACATTTTTTTGATATAAAAGTGATAAATATGCAGCTATTTATACATAGCTATCGTATCTGACTCTTCCACCAGGTAATGGTTCATAGCTTTGACATTTATAATCTCTGTGTGATATATAAAGATGTCTTTAGAATATGCAGTTAAGATCTACAGATATGTTAATTTCCAAAGGAATGCACATGGGAATAAACCTGTCAGCTTTGTTCCACCCTCTCAGGCAGGTGATGTCAGAAGTTTGGGCTGGTTGGACCCCAAAATGCAACATCCCAGCAATGCCAGGACCTTTCAAGTGCAGGACTTAGACTGGGTTGAGGTTGAACACCTCTGTTATTGCCAGGTATTGGAGAAACTCAGTCCTCCAGGTCCCCAAGTCAACTCCAGCCTTTAAGGTTTCATTAAACTCCAATCGGGCCCAAATAATCAGGCATATTTTGGTTGAACTTCACCGAATACCTGGGTGAGTCCCATTCCAATTCCCATGCTCCATTCTGACTTCAAAATCTTAGTGTAAAATTGAGTAGATAAAATCACCTATAATTCCAGGCACTTTTTTGGTTTCCATGCAGCCATACAAATAACTTGCAAATCATCATCTGAATTCTCCTAAATAAAACCAAACTTTTCCAAGGTGTTTCTATTGTTTACCTTCATTCCAGCTACTCATTACCCCTAAAATAGTGGGCATTGAGGTGTACAGCTCTTCTGCCTTTAACTCCATGAACTCAGGAGTTCTGGAAAGTTCTTGTTCTAGCTGAGTAACTGACCACCTCTTGCGTATGGCCTCTGCTCTGGGATGATATCCAAAATCATCCTGATCCACGTTGTTCTCAGCATCAAACTCGGCCTCAAACTCGGCCTCCTCTCCCCCTCGGGAGATATGAGTGGAATCCGAGGCTGCGGCTCGCTCTGCCCTGTCCGATTTGCCCCCTCCCAGCTCCCGGCTCTGGGACAGCCCCAGGTGCTTGCGGCGCTTCCTCGCGGAGCCCGGTTTCCTGCCTCTTTTGGACAGCTGGGTGTCTGCCCGCTGCAGGATCACCTGTGAGGACAGGTAGCTGCTGTAACTGCTCCAGGAGTTCTCATTCCCGTTGGGTTTTTCGTCTGGGATGGAGTAGGAGCGCCGGGGATTGCTCTTGGCTTTCCTTCTGGAGCGATAAAGAGCTGGGCGGGCAGAGGTAGGTTCAGTGCTCGCACTTTTGGCTGAGAGGCTGAGGTAATGATCCTTTTCCTTTTCATTAATATCCAGTGAGGACTTAATGAAGGTCTTGCAGACATTGAGGATATCTGTCATCTGCAGATAGCTGGCGGCTGACATGACTTCGATGACATTCTGACCCGTTAAAGACAATATCCCTGAATACACAAAGTCCAGGATAACCATGAACGTCTCTGGAGAGAAAACCTCAAACGTGGCTATTGTTGGCTGACTCGTCTCCTTCGAGCTCTGGGAAAGGAGCATTTTGAAGTAGCCACTGCTGGCGAACAGCACATTGCGATGGGCTTTGAAGACCTTGCCCTCCACCAGGATGTTGCAGTCACAGAACAAGTCCTGCTTCCGCTGCTCGTTCAGCTGCTCCAGGAGATGAGACTGGTGGGAAGAAATCTCCATTCCAGGCAGGGAGAAAGAGGAAGGTTTGCTGTAAAGGAAAAAAACATCATCGTGACTATCTAAATCGATGATGCTGAATCCTAATTTAAAGAGATGAGCTCTCGTTTAAAAAAGCGCTATCACATTCCCAATGTACCTCCAATCTCCCTGCGGCTGCTACTCTGCATAACAAGAGAGAAGAAACTTAACAACTCCGAAAGAGGTGAAAACATGCCCCAGCGGGATTACTCCGTATCCCAAAAAACCGAAAATTATGTCCATCAAGCCATAATGGTTCTGAGACTCTGTAAGAGAACTTGGCCCACCCGCCGTGGGCAGAGCCGCGGCTGACGCGGGTCCGCGGTGGGCACAGCCTCTGCCCCGGCGCATCG